TGGGAATGTTGACAGACAGATGCTTTTGGTGATTTTCAGGCATATTCTGATAATGGAGTGACGATATTTCAGTTGTGAATTTCACCTCCACAAAGTTCAGGCAAGAGATTCGTCTGTGATACTATGGAGATGCTCAGGCGATTTCAAAATATGGCCATATCTAAGGTCATGATTTTTTTCCTTTGATAAAGTATCATTTATTAATCATTTGCTTTGATTAGTGCCTTTTACATTTATTCTTTACATTAAAAATATTTAACGACCTGTGTTAGATGGAATAGTTATAATAATTTGTTAATATAATGTAACAACGTAAATTTTCAAAACAAATTTTCATTTTTCAAATAACATAAAACTCATTCAATATTCTCAAATCTCATGTTTAACAAATTTCATCATGATAAAAACATATCCCAAGATCATTAAATAAGTCTCCTGCCAGTGTGTACGGATCATGTTGGCGCCTTCCCGCGATCATCGCTGGTACCTAAAACACATAACACATAACACTGTAAGCATAAATGCTTAGTGAGTTCCCCAAAATACCACATACAACACATACGCCACTCAGGGCCATAACTCTATGGGATCTTCTGATCCATGTGTCTCAGGGGACGTCTGTCCCAACACTGGTAGACCTTCCGGCCCTACCCGTATGACCTTCCGGTCCTCATCATCTTGACCTTCCGGTCCGTACACTGTTGACCTTCCGGTCCATATCACAGTACTCATAACATAAAATAACACATACATGTCAAATAGCAACATATATCATATACTCCGCATAGCATATAAGACCTTCCATTCACACATAGTTACCCCTCTAGGTAAAGTATAATGAGAAGACTCACCTTGTGTATTGTCTTGTAATTCACGTGCTCGGTATCCCTGAACCTCATAACAATGACCTAGCCCCGCCTAAACACATAAGAAATCATCTCAAATCAATAACGGCTCTCCAGGCTAGACTAGTCTGTTCCAATGTTCTCTCAGAAGGCTAAAAGACCATTTTACCTTTCTAATGGTCCAAAAGTCCAAGTGTTGACCCAACCTTAAAGTCAACAGTCAAACTTTGACCAGACTCGTCGAGTGCACATAGGTGACTCGGCGAGTCCAAGCGTGTCCTATGGATCTTTCTATACCTCACTCGACTCGTTGAGTGAACCTTCCACTCAACGGCTACTACTGGTCATGAGTCGCGAGGCAACCCGACTCGACTCGTCGAGTCCCCATATGGACTCGGCGAGTTTCTTCCATGACAATTACCCAAACGACCTTCTGAGGTTAGATCTGCTTCTCTAATCTATAGATCTGACTTCCACATGGCCAATAATCACGTAAAGGTCAAATATTGACGCTCATGCAACGCACCGGAGGCTTATTTTGGTGAAATGGCTTCTAAAATTAGATCCTAGGTTCATTTCCTCCATGGAACAACATAAAGCAGGATAGATAATGCTCTTTGGACCTCTAAAGGTCCAGATCCAGAGTCTAACACTCAAAGGGACAACATATGCATAAATTCAAGCCAATAAAGGGGTAGAGAAAACCCTAGATTCAAGGATCTTGTACAAAACAGGAGAAAGGATCAATTTACTACCTCAACAAAGAAGACCCAAGCTTGAAATCCATAGAATCACAATCCCCTTGACCTTCACTTGCTAGAAGCACCTTTTTCTTTGCAAAGCCACAACAAACAAGATCAAAATAGCTCTCTCTGTCTCACACAACTCGCTCAAGCTCTCTAGGGTTTCTCTCTCTGGACTGGTAGTTGCAAATGAGGGCTATAAGGTCCCTTAAATACAGCACAAGCCCGGAGATTTAGGGTTTCTGACTTCAGCGTGGACTCATCGAGTCCACCCATCGACTCGTCGAGTCCGTTCATTAATCCAGTCAGCAAATCGCGATCCTACTCGACGAGTCTAAGCGTCAACTCGTCGAGTCCCTCGTCATAACTCAAAATAAACAATTAAAATATGATACCTGGAAATCCGGATGTTACAATTCTTCCCCACTAGAATCATACTGCACCCTTGAAGTCTCATTCTACAAACAACTATGGGTGCTGCTCCCGCATCTCCGCCTTCGGCTCCCAAGTTAGCTCGGACCCTCTCCGATGTTGCCACTGGACCTGAACCAGGGGCACCTCTTTGTTCCTCAGAACCTTGATCTTCTGATCCACGTGGAAGGTATCATGTATCTGGCCCAACTTTGTAGGTAGCTATAAACGATATGCTAACCTGCTTACCCTCGCAGTTACCCTGAAAGGACCAATGTACCTGACCTAGTGTATCTGCTCAGTTGTCTGAAGCACTATCTTAGTGCTACCTATCACTCGCTGCCCTACCTCTCCCCAACAGATGGGAGTCCGACACCTCCTCCCATACAACAAATCGAAGGAAGGCATACCAATGCTCGAATGGTGGCTGTTGTTATAGGAAAACTCATCCAATGGTAGGTACGTGTCCCAACTTCCTCCAAAGTCCAACAGACATGCTCA